TGGTGAAGTTACTACCACTGATGTGACTGGTACCGATGATGGGACATTTACTGATGAAGCAGATCAATCCCACATGACGCAGAAGCCAACGAGATGGAGATCAGTACGGAAGAAGATACGTCCCGTAAAATTAAGAGACTTTGTCGAATTGTAATTTTGTGTTTGTAATTCTGTACAGTTAATTAAGTTATTGTTAATTGTTATTGGTTTATTATATGTGGTTATTGTTCGGGACGAACAATATTAAGGAGGGGGCAGTGTTGCGTCAGCGAGTCACATGACTACAGTGACGCCACGTTTCTAGAACTATCCCGTATCTTGGCGAATGCTCTAGTAATTACTAGATGGAGGGTAGACTGGTATATAAAAGAGGGGAAAGTAGTGTGTGTGTAGATAGTGAGTAATTGATCTGCGGTCAGAAGTATTATTGACGTTCGTCGTTATAGCGTTTGTTTAGCGCGATTGTTGAAGTTGAGTGTATCGGTAAAGTTGTATTCGGAAAGAATAAACCAGTTTTATTAAGTAAAGAACTTGTGTCGCTAAAGTTTCGGCGGAACGAAGTTACGGAAAGTTAATTAACAAACGGAGACGTAACAATATACATCGTATTTTACTTTTCTAAATAATTTACACGCGCGTGAAACTACGACACAAAACTTGATCATACAACAAATGTTCTTAGTTCGTGTGTATATAAGAAAAATAACAAAGTTATTGGAATTTTTTCGAAGTTGTGAAGTAGTGAAGTTTTATGAGATGATATTACGTTTGTCCATATAATTCAGAATGCAGAATATCATTGCATTACGACTTTTTTAATCATGTTTTTGAAGACTTTGATAGTGATTCTATGTTTAAACTGATAAACACTATAAGAATATAAAATAATAATATAATGTAATATCATAAGAATATTCACATAGTTTATCATTCAAGCTTAAATGTTTTTAAATTTTGATTTCTACAAGTTGACTTAATATTTCAAGTTTTTTGGGTGTAATGGACATGTCATAATTTGGAATAATGACATACTAAGTAGTTTTCCCTTCCTCTTGTGATGAAATATACATGCTTAGTTTTGTATCTTGCTTATGGTATATTAATAGTTTAAGTGAGCTTTCGGACTAAGTTTAGTCCATTTTTCAGGTGTGAACAGGTCCGGCATGGCCAGGTGGTTAGGGCGCTTGACTCGCCATCTGAGGGTCGCAGGTTCGAATCCCCGTTCCACCAAATATGCTCGCCCTTTCAGCCGTGGAGGCGTTATAATGTGATGGTTAATCCCACTATTCGTTGGTAAAAGAGTAGCCCAAGAGTTAGCTTATTACTCTATAGTTGCAAGCTACTAATTGTTATAGGTTTAATTATATAAGTTCAAATTTCTATTGTTTCTACTTCTTCTCTGTTAAAGTCCTTCTTTAGCATTAGATCTACGACAAATACTTGTGGCTCTTATTGTAGAACATACAAGGTTCAACTACAGTGATAAATCACTGCTAATCTTTGCTTGTTTGTTTTGGAATTTCGCGCAAAGCTACACGAGGGGTAATTGCGCTAGCCATCCTTAATTTACCAGTGTAAGACTAGAGGTAGAGCAGCTAGTCATCACCATCCACCGCCAACTCTTGGGCTACTCTTTTAACAACGAATAGTGGGATTGACCGTCACTTTATAACACCCCATGGCTGAAAGGGCGAGCATGTTCGGTGGGACGGGGATTCGAACCCGCGACCTTCAAATTGCGAGTCGAGCTCCCTAACCACCGCCAGGTTAATTGTTTATAATATGCATTTCTGTGTATCGTGACGTAGCTGGTAAGAAATATTTGATTTTATATGTGCATAATAAATAAAGTGTAAGTGTTATAACTAAGAAAAAAAAAAAGAGTTGACACTGTTTTAAACACGGGAATTTTTATTGTCCAAGTGCGCTTCGTACCTGCCATCCAACACAGGACAACTGACCTATTTTGAATATAGCGTCATTAATTTCAAATCTGTAACCTTTAATTTGCTTTGGATTTACTAATAATAAACTCTTCCACAGGACAAAAAAAAAAAAAACGTACGAGATTACTGAGAATATAATCTTACAGATTTGTGCTATGTACTCAACATATTAAAAACACAGTTGTAGAAATATCGTATTCAACAGGGATGTGTCTTTCGTCTTTTGACTTAATTCTTCTACATCTAATGGCAAACAACTCCTCCCTTTTCAGTCCTAAAATAGAGAAAGAAAAAACTCTTAGCAACATGTACGTGAAACACAAGCATTGTTATGTTAAGTCTCGCAACAAATACATATAAAAAACGTGTTATTTATATTGACTTGGTATGTATTATCGAGCGACAAAATTGAAGATTAGCCTCATAAGTTGTTGTTCTGGTCTCTGGATTCGACGGAATGTCCACAGAGAGAGAGAGTTTATTCATAAAGTTGCCCCATATAAAAGGTAGTACTTAAAGATGATACAATGATATTTTAGTTCTGTAGCATTGCACATGCGTAATATAACATGTTTCTTTTGCCTTCCCTACTGTAGGTGATGGAGTAAGTGACTAATACGTATACAGTGAATGGTAGTTTTATTTCTGTTTAACATAGTTGAACTACTTAAATCATCACATTTGAAAATCTTCCACTATTTAATCATGGTATCTAAGTGAACTGTATAGTTAACTATAAAATATCTTCAGAAACTTTGAAAAGACAGGCTTGTAGCCAACTTAAATCTCATAACATCAGAAATTATGTAATAAGTCGTTAAATTCATTCATGAGCAGTTTTCGTTTCTTGAATACAAATGAATTTATGGTATACCAAATGTTAAAGTTATCTAGTATTGACACGACTACGACGTGATGTCTGCCATGTTTTGCCAGTTAGGGAAGTTACACGTTTAATATTCGCCAACCATTTTTGGTGGAAATCTAAGTTCGTTGTTGATGATATATTTTTGTTTTATTATCCAAACGATTTGATCGCCCGTAAAACATATCTTGCAAGTTAAAACACCATATTCTACTTCATCATGATTTCATGTTCACTACTTATGAACTTAACTCTAACAAATACAGAATCTAGTATGACAGCTGTACAACTATTGTGTTGGAAAGAGGATTTTCTTCCTCAGTTAGAAAGAGAGTAAAATAAAAATTAAATATAGAAAATTATGAAAAGGGGTACTTGAAAATTATAACATGTACAGTTTGTTAGTCAGTCTTCGATACTAATTTTGTTACTTCATAGAAAATATTGACAAATGATAATAAGACTGAATACGAGTCAACAAGTACCAAATCCAACTACCTGTTGGATTATTGAAACGGAGTAGCAAAAATATGGTGTAAGCCTTATTTGTAAATAATTGATCCGATGTACAAAAATAAAAGTCCATAATTCTTTGTAGTACTGAATTGTCGGGTGATTGATAAACGTCTTTTCATTGTTTTATTTATTCCTTTTGCACATTCAATAATCTATGTACACTACTTGAGTGATAACTTAGCATCAGGTTGGATTGTGCCAACCAAAAAAAGGTTTTCGTTCGAAGGGGAACGTTTGTTTAAATTCTGCTTTTTACTATACTTGCCTAATATTGGGTATAAAAGCACTGGACAAGTAGACTGTTTACTCCAGCCTGTCAATGGTTTTATTGTAAAATAAATATGTATTACATGTCATAATGAATACGAAACAATAAACTATGGGCTATGATCCTAAACAGAAAAGAAGTGAAGCACAGAGCCATACTAAGGGCAGGCGGGCACGAAAACAAATAGTTATTTTTAGTTAGCCTTTGAAAATGACCCACACTTGTTCACTGCTCTACCACCAACTATTTGGCTACTGTAAGTGAAAATATATTTAGTAGAAACTTGTACTTGTATACAATATAGCAATACTGATAAACTTGCTTATGTTAATTAAATACTATCGAAATACAGGAATTATTTAAGTTTCCCTAAAGGTTTCTTAGGTATTAAAATGCAATCTTAGCTTATTAATGGTTAATCTCATTTTCATACCTTTCATAATTAGTTTAATTTGCATTGGTTAGTTTTGGATTAATTAAGTTAAAAATATATAGTATTTTCCAGAATTGGAGCAGGTTACTTTTGCCTCACCCTGTATATCTTAAGAGCATTCATTTATATTTTTCTTTATAAACAATTGACCGAAAATGAGCTGTCTTTCTTACCACATTGGAATCCATCTTTTCGACAAAACGTTTTCCTCGAAGGCCGTAAAATGATCTGGCGCGCTTGTTTTCTTCAGAGAAAGGTAGTTGTGATTGGGATGACAAGCCTTCATAAACCTGCCTAAAACCATCAATGTAACTGTCGACATAGGAATCGTCTTTCTTTCCCCGTAAAGCATGAAAAGCTCGTTTTTCCATAGTATCGTCATCAATAAGCTTTTTCCCTCTGAGGCCAAAAAAGATACTTCCTCTCTTATTATCGAAATCCTCCCGTCTTCCTCGGAGACCAAAAAATGGGCTTGCTTTTTTTTCTGTGGAATCTACCTTTTGCCCTCTTAAACTGAAAAAGGGACTTGCTCTTTTGTCGGCAGCTGCTTCTTTTTTACCCCTTAAACCAAAAAATGGACTCGCTCTTTTTTCTTCAAAATCATCCCTTTTCCCTCTTAGACCGAAAAATGGACTCGCTCTTTTTTCTTCAAAATCACCCCTTTTCCCTCTTAGACCGAAAAATGGACTCGCTCTTTTTTTTTCAAAATCACCCCTTTTTCCTCTTAGTCCGAATAATGGACTTGTTCTTTTGCTTTCAAAATTTTCTTTTTTACCTCGAAGACCAAAAAAGGGACTGGCTCTTTTACTGTTAAAACCTTCTCTTTTTCCTCTTAAGCCAAAGAACGGACTGGTTCTTTTGGCGTCATAATAATCCCCTTTCCCTCTTAGACCGAAAAAAGAGCTTGTACGCTTATCATTCTCTTTTTGCTGAGATAATGATTGGCTAATAGGTATAATATTTTCAGTTCCTTCATCACTGTTTGACTGTGAAAATAAAATATGATATTTTGCAATTAAAACACTATTATGAAATTAATATTTTATAAGTAGCTGTTGTGGTCAGAGTAAAAAAATGGCACTTTTAATACTTTATTACAAAAGCAACATTTAATTGTTAATTGTTTCTAACATTAAGTTGTTAAGTTACATTTATTATTCGTGAATTGTTTCCATCATGAAATTGTTAAGCCAAATTCTTGTTAGTTTAGTTTTGAAAGCATGAATGTCTTAAGCTACGTTCATTATTTGTTAATTGTAAACATAACATTGTTGCTAGCTACGTATTAAAATTACTTACATTGTTCAGTAGTAACTACAATTCTTTAGTTCAGTTGCCCTTCTGGAATACGAAGAGAAAACCCGATATTGTGCTGCATACTTATTGAGGTTAGAATGATCAAGCTTTTTATTTATCCCCAATTACTTTCATATCTACTTTTGGGAGAGAAGGGGGTAGGGTTTTTCGCAAAATGAAAATAAGCGGTGCCTGAGCACTGTACCAAGTTTGGTCTCGCTAGCTTGGCAATGGAAATATACACACAGTTTCAAATATGGCGCCTCTGTGATCTCGAAATGGCCCAATAACGCAACATCCGATGCCAGATTATGATTCAGCGACCCTGGAAACCCCAATCCAAACTTCAACATGCGTAGGTGATTTTCTAGGGGCGTTTTACCCTCTTGGTAGAGAGTTACGCCATATAAATAAGGACATCCCTGGGCTACCCCAAGTCTGCCTGCAAAGTTTCGGCCTCTTACCTTCAAAACTATGGGAGGAGTTAGCTGAACATACATACAAAGTCACAAGCTAAGTTAATACAGAGTTACACTATTATTAGTACTTGAGTAAGACCGAGCATCCTAAACACTTGCATCCCCCTGTGACTTAGCGGTAAGTCTGAGGGCTTATAACACCAAAAATCGGTTTTCAGTACTCGCGGTTGGCAGAGCACAAATAGCCCTTTTGCTTAACAATAAACAAACAAACCTACTAATGTGTAATTCTGTTATCCATCTGACAATCAGATTAATTTTTAAAAGGATAAAAGTGGTTGTTTTATAATAATTCAAATATAATTGAACCTTAAGAAGACAAAACGTCAAACGGAGATTCAAGAAACAACATACTTTACAAATGATCTTTTTATTCATTATCCTATCTGTTTATATAGAAAATTTTAACTTACCAGAAAACGGATACTTTCTACTGGAGTTATGGCTCGATCTAGTCTGGCGACATCTGGTGACAAAATTAGAAGGAATACAAACAGAAGAGCGGAAATACTTGAAGACCAGATGGTTCTGTATTTCATCATTTCAAGTATACTGTTAAAAGAAATACTTGTCTTATATCTGTACGTATATTTAAGTTAGCTACATAAGTGTTTTTAACCGATTACATTACAAGGAAGGATAGTGTGAATTTTTAACAGCATTTTCAAACCTTAGATGAAATAATTAGATTATTTATTTCTGTAGAGAAGGAAAAATTAAGTGAATAAATAATTAAAAACATACGCAGCCACAAAACAAATATCCAACACTGGGGCACAAATCATAGGGTGGGTCATCATCATGTAGTGTACCCTGTTTTTTTTTAGGTACCGGCGGAAGTAAGACCCAAATTGCGTTGGGGGTACACCGTCTGTACGGTTTAACCTCAGTTTTGCCGGTCCCACGTCCTTAAAAAAGGAGAAAAGAAGCAGATGTGGGTGTTCAAGCCCACAATATCCCACTTCTTCACTGTCTGCAATCAGAAGTAGGAAAGTGACTTCTCTCTAAAGAAATATAAAATGAAGAAAAAAAAGAGGAAACAAATAAGGTCCTACCAGTTGGAGTAAGTAATGAAACTTTACCCCATGACGTTGGCATTCCAGCTCCCTACCTTATTATGAAACCTTACCCCATGACGTTGGCATTCCAGCTCCCTACCTTATTATGAAACCTTACCTCATGACGATGGAATTCCAGCCCCCTACCTTATTATGAAACCTTACCTCATGACGTTGGCATTCCAGCCTCCTACCTTATTATGAAACCTTACCTCATGACGTTGGCATTCCAGCCCCCCCCCTATCTTATTTTTTAAGCACATGGTAAATTGTGTACATCTAAATAATTTTAAAATGTTTGTAAGTGGTCCTGTAGAAGTGTCATATTTAAATTGGTAAGCAGTTTTATATATTTTAAGGGGAAAATATCTTGTATTACGGAACTATGCAAAATTTTAGAAATTTTAGTTACTGTAGACTCTGCAAGTAAAATTAATGGGTGGAAGTTATACTAGTTCATATAACTTGGTTTAGTTACAGTAGACTCTGCTAGTAAAATTAATGGGTGGAAGTTATACTAGTTCATATAACTTGGTTTAGTTACAGTAGACTCTGCAAGTAAACCTAATGGGTGGAAGTTGTACTAGTTCATATAACTTGGTTTAGTTACAGTAGACTCTGCAAGTAAACTTAATGGGTGGAAGTTGTACTAGTTCATATAACTTGGTTTAGTTACAGTAGACTCTGCAAGTGAACTTAATGGGTGGAAGTTGTACTAGCTCAGATAACTTGGTTTAGTTACAGTAGACTCTGCAAGTAAACTCAATGGGTGGAAGTTGTGCTAGTTCAGATAACTTGGTTTAGTTACAGTAGACTCTGCAAGTAAACTCAATGGGTGGAAGTTGTGCTAGTTCAGATAACTTGGTTTAGTTACAGTAGACTCTGCAAGTAAACTCAATGGGTGGAAGTTGTGCTAGTTCAGATAACTTGGTTTAGTTACAGTAGACTCTGCAAGTAAGCTTAATGTGTGAAAGTTGGGAGTTGTACTAGTTCAAATAACTTGGTTGGATTTTTATACTAGGATAATGTTTCTACTGTACTGCCAATACTAACTTATTCATCTAGGCTTTTAGTACTATAAGGGGACTGGTATGCCATCGTCAGAAGGTAAGGTTCTCTTACTTACCCCCAATGGTAGGGCCTTATTTGTTTCCTTTTTCTTTCATTTCATATTGATTGGGAGAGCAGTCATCTTCCCACTTCTGAATGCATAGAGCAAAAGTTGGTAAAAATGTAGGAGGCGTTGTGGGTTAGAGCACCCACATTTGCACCTTTTCTCCTTTTTCTCTGTGTGTGGCTGATGAAATTGAGGTTAAACCGAATAGACGGTGTATCTCCAATGCAATTTGTGTCTTACTTCAGCCGGTACTTCAAATTATCCACCCTTTGATTTGTGACCCGGGGTTGAATATTTGTTTTGTGGCTGCGTTTTTATTTTTAGCCGCGGAACAGCGGCCCATAGAATGGCTCCGAGTTGGTTTGTTTTTTATCAAGTACAAACTTTTAGCTCATAGCTCCGCCATCTCTTGACCGATTTGAGATTCAATTACAATTTTGGACTCGGGGAGGTCAAACACTTTCGATTCATGTATTTGATCACACTATAGGTCTCATAGATTAATTTACTCTAATCTTGCCTAAAATAATTTTAATTTGAGGGTAGGCTGGTAGAGATTCTGATAAGTTATAAATTCGAATGGGATATACGCGCGCCCTACGCTTGGTATTGTTGACGCACAAAAATATAGCTAATGAAAAGGAAAAGATATCATAGATTAATTTACTCTAATCCTGCCTAAAAGAAATTAGCCGCGGCTATTTAGGATTCCCTCTTGTTTCAAGTGTATATTTTTATTTTTTTTCCTTCCCTACAAAAATAAATCTAATTATATATTTGTGTGTATATAAGTCGTAAATTTACACAGCATATATTCAAACAAACATATTATTCAAATATTAACTTTACAGCTTCGAAACCATATTGTTGTGGATATTGTACTTAACTAAATGATATATGAAAGCAATCTATTGTTCGTAAGAAAAACAATTTATAAAGAAAATAACTCTGATTAAATAACAGCACTTTATTTAGTGAAGGTTTGTTTGTTTTTTGAATTTCACAAAGCTACACGAGGACTATCTGCCCTAGACGTCCCTAATTTAGTAGTGTAAGACTAGAGGGAAGGCAGCTAGTCATCAACTCTTGGGCTACTCTTTTACCAATGAATAGTGGGACTGACCGTTACATTTTAACGCCCCCACAGCTGAAAGGGCGAACATATTTGGTGGTACGGGGATTCGAACCCGCGACACGCATATTGCGAGTCGAGCCCCCTAACCATCTTGTCATGCTGGACCATTTAGTGAAGGAACGGATAAAATAGGCTAAGCTTCGAATTTTTGATAGTTTAAAAGTATAAAATATTTCTAAACAACGAAAGGTTAATTAACATTTGAAATTGGAATGCTCTATCATTAGATTAGCATATATATTTCTTCTTACTTCATTTTTTTCACCCTGTCTCCTCGACGAAATAACAATAAAACTGGGTTCATAGTTGTTTCTATATTGGTAAAATATGGGTTCATAGTTGTTTCTATATTGGTAAAATATGGGTTCATAGTTGTTTCTATATTGGTAGAACATGGGTTCATAGTTGTTTCTATATTGGTAAAATATGGGTTCATAGTTGTTTCTATATTGGTAGAACATGGGTTCATATTTGTTTCTATATTGGTAGAATATGGGTTCATAGTTGTTTCTATATTGGTAGAACATGGGTTCATAGTTGTTTCTATATTGGTAAAATATGGGTTCATAGTTGTTTCTATATTGGTAGAACATGGGTTCATAGTTGTTTCTATATTGGTAAAATATAGGTTCATATTTGTTTCTATATTGGTAAAATATGGGTTCATAGTTGTTTCTATATTGGTAAAATATGGGTTCATAGTTGTTTCTATATTGGTAGAACATGGGTTCATATTTGTTTCTATATTGGTAGAATATAGGTTCATATTTGTTTCTATTTTGGTAGAAATGGATTCATATTTGTTTTTATATTGGCAAAATATGGG